TACTAACATAATTAATCAATACTCTTTTGTTTATGTCAAAGATAATATTTTTGCAAATAAAAATAATTCACCAATTGCTGCTTTGAAATATAGGTATGCATAGGTATTGGATTTCATGTTTCGCGACGGAATAGTATTATGCTCAGCCAAGTTTTAATCGTATCGCTCATTAAGGCCGATAACTGCACGCGTTGATCTTTATCGTCTGTTATTGTATAATTGTAATCTGTTATTGTAATTTTCCGTGAGTTTCTTTCGACAAATGACGTGGCTGTGAATCCCACGTGGCTAACGCTTACAGTAATTTGCTAATGGTAGTAAAATTTGTACATATAACTTGTACATATAATGTATTACTCACAAATATTTTCCATCAACACAGCATTGACGTTTCGCAAACAATTCTCTTACAAACAATGCAGAAATAATGCAGCAAAAGAAGGAAGAAATTGGCAGAAAAACTTGTTTATTATATTTATTATACTTATTTATTATTGTAATTTATTTATTATATGTTTATGAGATTTTTTCTTTTCTTCTGAATTTATGATTCATATTCATGACTTGAAAACAGGGATTGATAGAAATTCTTGATTTCGTCGAATTTTGAAGTTAGTTGTAATTATTGCAACTCATACGAGTTTGTAGACTTCCGTCGCGAATGAGATTCAGTAGCGAATAAAAATCGAATGAAAAGAAATTAGTTAGTTAGTATCCATACGCGATAAATTCGTGTTTGACACATATCGTTCTGAGTTTTCTCTTACGTACGTTAATTGTTATATATGCGCATGTTTTTCTTAGCGTGCAAGCTAATCGAATCAAGTTGTATTTTCTTCATTCAATGGTAGACATCTCGGCGGACACATTTCGCGCTGCATTTTGATACAGTCGAGAGATTGCGCGATTCTCAGACTAACTAGCTAACGTAATTCGTACAGCTTTGCTGCAAACCGGTTATGCAACCCAGTTTCCAAGTTCAGTAGGGAGGACGCGGGCGTTTATCGAACAATCGGGTGCAACCCAAGCTACATGGAGATTGCGATTAATCTTCTCAATTTATTCCACTTACTCTTCACCTCCCCTCGTCGTCTTTTTCGTCGATCGACCGGTAAAATACGGCAAGACGTTGTGACAAAAGAGATTGGAAACAGAAAATTTTTTCTGTTTCTAAAATTACTCGTCAAAAACATTCAAAGCCACATTTATCTGGTATCGGCGTACTTTAATTTATAATTTCAGTGTAATATAATTTTAATTAATCAGTGTACAAACAAAAATGTTTGCGCACTAAATTACTGTTAATAAATTTACGCTTACTGCTCATTAAGATTGTCAAGTTTTGTAAATTGTAACATCGTCGAATTGTAATTTAGAACAGCTCTGTAATCTTTGTATTCTTTTAAATTGCCGTGTCGTTGTTAACCGCAGTTACGTGCTGATCTTATCAATTTATTTTGCTACGCATTTGTATGGTGTGGGGGGGGGGGTCAACTTTGTTGATTTTTTTTTATTACACAACTTTGACAAAAATAATAGCATAGTTTCAAAATTTAATTAATCAAACATTAGTTTATATTATACTTAATTAATATACAGTGCCTTAAACAAAATTCAATAAATAAAGTTTTATTGCAATTTTTTTCTTCAAAATAGATTAAAATTGATGTGCACGTATGCGTGTGTGTTGTGTGGGCATGCGACGCGCGCGTCTAGATAAGTGCATAATTATTATTATCTTTATATAATTGTCATAAATATTTGTTAATAATACATCTTGTTTAGAAAAAGTTAGTAGTTGTATCGTTTTTTAGCTATTTTTTATAAATGGCAAGATATAAGAGCTCAGATGTAAGCAATTATGAGAAATTATGACTAGCGCTTAAAATGTTATCATGTTATTTAAGAAATGCTCACGCGTCATATTACACACAAGAATTGTCAGTAAAAATGCAGTCATAAAGCTTTTAATTAAGTCTGTGCTTTAGGCGCGTCCTGATAAAGCAGTTGATTAAAAATACACAACTGAGAGAACTGATTATGAACTTTGGATTTTCTAATCTTAATAATGAAGAGTGGAAAATTATTAAGTGTCAAAAAATTGAGTTTAGAAAAGATAATTTAATCAATTTATCATTGATTTTTTTGGTTTGACATATCATAATTAGTGGACAGTAAAATGTATAATTTTTCGTAGAATTTCTCTCTCTCTCTCTCTCTCTCTCTCTCTCTCTCTCTCTCTTGTATTAATTGAGAAGACGAAAAAGTCGATAAAGGATTTTACATTTCGATGATATTGTATCGGAGATTTATATAGATTATCGCGATTCAATTTCTTGTTACCGTAAATGTAATTTAAACCAAATTCTGTGAGCGAGAAAAACATCACTTGGTTGTCATCGTGATGGATGTTCCATCAAGTTGCAATGTTTTCACGGCTTTCTCAGCAAACCATATTAAATCCATTAACACAATACTCGTCACAGTTTTGCACTGTAAACGAATAGGAATTCTAAAATGTAATCAAATAATGCAAAATCTATTGTTTATATATTTGAGCTTTATTCGTGAGTGATAATCTCTCGATGAATTTGGAATTGCTTTCTTCTTCGTAATTAAACTTTAAATATATGAAGCCAAATCTTTGAATTTAAATGCTTTTGTCAAATATAATGTTTATTATTTGTTTCAATTATTACATTACACTTTTAGTAAATTTAGTTGTCTCCGAGTGTTAATTTAAATTACAGTTTAATTGCAAACGATAACATAAACTTTAAATTCATCAAAAAGAATATACCATTTAAATGAAGTTCACACTTTTCAAATATTCTGTACACACTCTTTCAAGTTGTTGTTGTTGTTAACAGGAGAAACGTCAAGTTTTTTATTATTGCCATAAATTCGGTTAGCTATACACCGAAAATAACTACCCCGAAAAATTTCCCTAAACAAAATTGCAACATCGCAAATAGAAAAATAGCTTCATTCATATAATTACTCATGATTAAGCAGAATGACCAATCAATGATATACTTACATGAAAATATGTTCGTGTTCTTAACTGTCTTGTCTTCAATCGTGGAAAACGCGCAGATAGGATCGCCGCCGTCGTCAGCTTTGCTCATCGCCGGCTAACCTTGCACTAAACGCCGTCATTTAGTTCATATCGCGATAACAAAATGCTTACGAGCGTCGGTAAACGCATTTTAGAGGCCCTGCCGGTTTGACCACGGCATGTGGCAGTTACGGCCCGCAATTCTTTGCCACTTTACGGTGACCCATTAAACAATGCCTCCGGCATAGTTATTCTTCTGCGCAAACGTCAGATTCACGTAATCCTCGTGAAAGAAATACAGACGTATTATTATTTCTATCACTCTTCCGTCACTTCAATGATCTTCAATTAATCTTAATTCTTTTTATCTCTGGTTTTTTTAAAAATTAAAGATAATCTTTCTTATATTTGAATTAAGAGAAGAAACTTTTATCAAAATAAAATTAAATCAATTCTACAACACTTTGGAAATAAAATTGGGATTTACTTGCAGCTCCATAAATATAGTATAGTACAGATGTAAAGTAAATCATACAAATTCAACTTGATTGATATTTAATTAAATAATGTTGCCTTGTTGTTTTATATTATATATCGCATAAAATACTAAGTTTTTATAATTTATAATTATAATAGTGTATTATAATTGTAATTATGATAGGTAATTATAGACATATCGTATGTTGAAAATTTTATCGGTCTCGACATTGAGACGCTTTTGTTTTGACCATTGTCACAATTAACGTTGCGATCAAGAGCTTATAAACTACGTGAACAGACCTAGTGGCCCCGATATTGAAAGACATCTATTGTGTGAAACCCACGAAGATAGAGATAACATAATGAAACTAACTGGCTTGGTCTGATCAATTAACTGACCCAAGCACACACGACATAACATGTATTAACATTTAACATGCAATCGCCTCCCCCTCACGTTCACATAATATCGAACGTATAGAATTACATGGAAATCCGTTGCTAACAAAATTTGTGCGCCAAATAACTCGGCAATCAAGGAATTCTGCTTGAGATATCGAGACAGACTGGAAGAGCACCCAAACAACCTTGTCACCAACCTTATGCGTGACAGAAGAATTGTGCGTAGACTCAAGAGGAAGATACCTACAGATCTCCTAACCTAACCTAACCTAATACACTATAGTTTTGTATTCCTAAATAGCATACTTGCTAGATTGTGAATATGCTTATGTATTGTATAGGGATATGACATTGGTCATATGCCTTTCCTGTCATGTTTATTGAGTTAAACGTATTGCTGAATGTTCTGTGGATAGCAACAGTTGCAATAGTATTGGATGTTAAAAAAAAAAAAAAAAAAAAATAATTCGGACGGAAAAATTAGCGACAGTCCGCGACTTGAGATATGTCCGTTGGAGATATGTCAGTTAAAAATTTTTTTAGTTCATAATTAAATAACTTGATGTATAAGTGGAAGCTGTTACCTTCATTTTTATTTAGATTTTGACATACCATTGCACACAATGTACAAGAGTTTTACAAGAGTTTTCAACACGCTTCCAGTCTTGGCTTATTTAAGCAGAAATTTGATATTGCCACTTCTTGTACCAAGTCATAGATATATATTATATATGTAATAATATTACGAAATACTGTACTTATACTTATATTATATGTATAATATTATTCATTAAATAGATGTATTTAATGATATTATTACGTATAATTTAATACTATTATTATGTATAATTATATATACTTATATTATACGTAATAATAGTATTATACACTTAAATATATTATTTAATTAATGATATATATTAATATTTTTACATTATAACAACAGTTTTTAATATTACAGTATTGTGTACAATATTACAAAAAATTGTAATTTCAACATAATTTTGTAATTATTTCAGATTACATTTCTACGGTAGAAAATTGCAGTCTTTATCGGGTGCAGAAAGTTATCCAAGAATGGTTGCGGCACACAGGAGATTGCCTCCATTATTTATTTAAAAAAGTGACATAAATAAGTAAGTAGTATTACAAATATACATATGTATATTTGGATTTTATATTTTAACAATATATCTTAATATAGTTTATATAAGAAGTATTATGTAAAAGTATTATGTTTAAAAGTGTTATGTAAAGAAATATTAACAATAAAATATTAATAACAAGTTTAAAAATATTCTATTGTAAAATAATTGCTCAAGTAGCAAATGATCGTCATCTGATGTTTTTTTATCGTCATAATTGGTTATTATATTTAACAAATTAACAATTATAATAACCAATTATGACGATAAAAAAAAAACATCAGATGACGATCATTTGCTACTTGAGTATAAAATTATCATATTAATAAAACGTTTGTCTTAAGGGCATCTTAAAATAAGTCTCACAGACGTCTTATAAGACAAATCAAGAGACATCTCAAAGACGTTTCTAAATCGTCGAAAATTGTTGCATAAGACGTCTCATAGACGTTTTAAATACGTCTCTTCGACAGCTTTGTAAAATGTCTGAGTGATTTTAAGATGTCTTTCGAACATAAGACGACATAATGTTGTGTGGATTGTCTACGATATTTAAAAGAATGACATTTGATATTTATAGTTTATCCGGACTCGTGCAAAAATTGCCATATTGATAATTGATAGAATTTGTATTGATTTTAATGTGTCAACATTTTTCAAATATATCTTGCAAATACAATTGATATAGAAATTATCATCGTTCTCGTTGAAAGACTTTGAAGATGAATTTCTGGCGGTTGACTTTTGGATCACCCCGTACACAACTTGAAGGGGTGGAATGTGGCGGGTGGTATAAATTTTCTGAGGGCGCGCATCGTGCTCGTCAAAGCCTGAAACTCGCACTAGTAGGTAAGCAGAAGCGCAAGAGTGAAGAGTCGAAGGAAACCTCTCTTTCTCTGCGTCGCACCCAATTTCATTTGTACGATTTGCGATTTGAGTTAGTTCCGTGTCCATGTAGTGCGCGAGTACTTTTTATTCGAGGCAGTATAGAGTTCCCACGAAATCGCGAGGTGAGTTTGAAATTTGCCGATGCGATTGTCACACCTAAAATTGTCGCGAAAAATGGTCACGTCAAAAGACTAACAATTTTTGTCCTGAAAGATTGTATTTTGTTGAAACAATCAAGTACCAAAATATTTTTGTTTGTACATGTATTCTCAAGACTTCCGCAAGAAATTGGAATTTACAAATATCGTTTCAAAGTTTGAAACAATATTTCAAGTTGCACATATCGTGATTGTCAAATGTGTGAGAAAAAGATGTGTTTATTGCGTTGTGATAATACAAGGGTTGCTTGCAAATGTCATCGCGACAGAAATTTGACGCTTTAAAACAATAAGAGTAAAATTAGTTGGAAAGAATTTACTTATTTCTACACTTGAAAAATGTGAACAGGTGTGACAAGCAGAAATGTTACAAGTCTTATAATTAGTTATACACGTTTGCCATTTTAATATTATGCGATTGTATCAACAAACTGTTGTGTCTAACAGACTAAGGGAAAACCGCGATTTTGCCAATGACATGTGTGTAAAATAATGTGTCACTATTTACATAATTAGAAATACTATTGTCATAATTGAAAATACTGTTGATACTTTGATTTCGACAAGTTCTCAGATTTGTTTATCAGATTTTTCGATGAACAAAACTGTCTCGTTAAGAACATCTTCTTCTGAAAAAGGTGTAAAAAAAAGGTATAAAAAGGTATAAAAAGAAAAGGGAAATGTGTACGAAATCGTTATTTTCATCGAGATAATGAGATGCACATTTTACGAAAGGCTTTTTACCATCTCACTCTCATACAAAACTCATACGTCTATGTCGAGAGATGGCCCGGCATGACTAATGAATTGGTTGGCAAAAGCAGTTGAGGCGAACTTATAAAGCGTAAATCTCCGTGTGAGAAAGAGAAAACGGTGTTGTCGAGGGTTGCTAATGTCAACATTAATGCTTTTTTAACCCTTATATCTTATACCTTCCAGCTGTCTGCCCACGCGCCGAATTAATGCTTTTGCAGATACGGGACATTGATTTTACGTCAAATCTGGTTATTGAAGTTCGATTATCAACGTATCGTGCGATCTGTTTGTGAACACATAACCACGTTAAAATGCCGATTACTCTAATTAAATTTGCATTACATGATTACTAAAGTGAAGAGTTTATTTCATTCTAAAATTTCTAAAATTTACATGAAATTTACAACGAGTTGACATTGACAACATATTGACAACAACTTGGTCGACATTACCGTTCATCATTTGCCATACTAATAAATGTGAAAAGCGTAAGTGGGTAAAAATTATTGAAAATATTTTTTCATTAATTTATATTTAGAATGATGCAGGAATGCTTATCAAACTCGAGGTCGACATTAAACAGACATAATAATAAAATAATAATGTAAAATGATCAAATTTTTTTTCCAAAACGTGCATTATTGTTGCTCAACCGCAAGTTTTACGTGTATAGTGTAGCAGTGTAGGTTAATAACGTTCAAACCAGGCTGTGTGTATCACGATATGTGCTCACGATGCTCACGATAGGTTCAATATGAACATACATGCCGTATAAACGGTATGGCGCAGATACTTGTGTGATTTTCAAGGAAGTCTAGAAAATATGCTCGCGTTTGTCTGTTCAGTTTATATGTATACACATCTTCAGTAGATGAGTCTCGATTCCCGAAATTTGATAAAGCTCACCGTTCACGCACGTAATCACGCAAACCTATCGTTACTTTCGAAACGAGTCGACCACCTGCGGTGAAGATAATCCAAATAGATTATATGTCTTACGGAAGAAACAGAGTCTATAGGCAGTTGTTTGAATTATCGTAGATCACCCACCAAGATGGAACACTTTTGCTTAAGAACGATAAAGCTTCAAATCGGCAATATGACAGTGCCAAAAAAGTCATAGTTTACAAATGTAAAACTCCAACTCTATTTCAGAAAACTGTTCATATTGTAAAGATTTCAATTCAGGATTAAGCTTTCCAAAAAATTCTAAATATATTTGAATAAAAATACAATTGCTTGGAAGCTGCATATGTATGAATTTTAGAAAAAGTTTTTCTCTTGCTTGAAACAAAAAATAGTATATTAGAAAATGATTGTTATAATTGAAAAATTGCCAACAAATGTGGTAATGATACTTGTCCTTGATGCTGCCAAACAGGATATTGCCTAATTTTACAAATGCCATCGTCAACGCTGCCTGATAATGTCAACATCATTTTTGCTACATGACAATATCTACATACATGTGTTAAAATAGTGATCAGAAATTACACAACTCACAACTTTCCTGACAAATTTATGTTTTTCTAGATTGCAATTAAAAAAGATGGCTGAGGATCAGCCGAGATACAAATTAATATACTTTAATGCACGAGGTCGTGCCGAGCATATTCGCTACATATTCGCCTATGCGGGCATCAGTTATATCGACGAGAGAATTTCCAACGATCATTGGCCTGAACTTAAAAAATGTAAGTGCCTCAGAAATTAGATATAGACAGAAAAATTCAAACCGCTTAAATTAATTGGTAAACATTTATTGGCACAAGATATGCATTTTGTTGCGATACACAAATTTTACTAATACAAGTATTTCGATTATAACGTTTAACTCGAATTTTATTGATTAATTAAGAGTTAAATTTAAATTGCACATAAATTTCTCAAGTGTTACACATAAAAAGGTGTACTTGATAATCATATGATCGAATGCAATAATGTTTCCGCCCTTTTATTACCAATTTCAACAAAGATAAAATATGAGTTGCATTTAAGCATGAGCTGTCGATTGTTTTCTATTGCTTTTAGCAATGCCTTACGGAATGCTGCCAGTTCTGAAGATAGACGGTAAGCCGGTAGCGCAAAGTAACGCCGTGGCACGTTACCTGGCTCGCGAGCACAATCTCGCAGGCAAGGACGAATGGGATTCGATGCTGTGCGATATATTGGTCGATACTCTGGGAGATCTGAAACAATGTAAGTAATACGATCCAGTTTTTCTTCTTCCTTTCCTTTAATGAAGAAAGAGGAAGAACGCTTCGAAGCATTTGTAGCGTCAAGTTGACCGCAACCGAAGTCGATGACGATCAAGTTTGCGCGCGAGCATCAATCGATAATGATCGTCGATGACGTCCACAAACTTTTTCAATATGCAATCTTGAAAATCTTGAAACTCTCAATCGTAAAGAATTTATAAAATCTTTAGATTGCGTCTCAAAGGTGACGATATTCCAAAACCTCTAGAAATTTGTGACGGAGAGCAGAAATACGCAACGTTCGGTATCAATGTCGCGGAAAATTCTAACATGCGCTTCTCGCCTATGTTGCCTATTTCGAAAGTCCGTGGTTCCCGCATAATTGACCAGATACCAGATCGCATCGTGGAGAAGAGCTTCTCGCTAAATTCGATATGTTTTACGCACACGATATTGTATTGTAAGTTACCGTTAACATTATATTATACAATAATAATAAGCAAGTCAGATAGCTAATGAGGTATTCTAGCGGACGCGAGTTATTATGCGGTCGCTAACTATATTTCCGTCTCATTTAGATACTACTAATTCTCATCCAACAAACAGCTTTTACATTATTCTGAAATATATTCAATACTAGTATTGACCCAAATGTACAACAGTACACATCGATCGCGATGTGTCATTAAATTTTAAAATGCCATTAAAGTTTGCGCTTTCACTGTTCTTTCATTTTTCAGTCATCTTCCAATATCGTGCAGAGGAGGATCTCTTTAAGAAGGAGGAGAAAAAGACAAAACTTCTAAAGGAAATAATTCCGTTCTATCTAAATAAGTTCGAGCAAACCATCGCCGAGAATGGTGGTTATGCGGTTGGTTCCACGGTATAATACAAATCTACTGAATTATATGAATCTACTGAATATAATACAAATAGTATAATACAATAGTATAATACAAAGCTACTGAATTATAAAATGAGATAAACTAGAGAGATTCCACAGTATAAAATGAATAATTAAAATATACAAAGTGTTATTAATTGAAATATAATTGGCATATAATTCAATGTTTTCATCATTTGAGTAAAATAGAACAAAAGCTTGAGTGTAAACATCGAACGCCACGAATCTGAAAATTTTAATTAAAGCATTCATTTTCGTGACACGTTAAGTGAAAATTTTCGTTTTGACGATAAATCCGCAATAACCGCGTGTTGCTTTTCAGACTACGTGGGCGGATTTTGTGTTTACGGTGGCGTTGGAGAACTTTGAGAACATTTTCGGTGCAACCGCTTTAGAGAATTATCCGGCTTTACGTGGCTTGAAGAAACGAGTGCACGAAATTCCTACAATCACCGATTGGCTGGCCACACGACCTCATTCAGAATTCTGAATGTATTTTTAATATTGTTTCAACAATAGAAACCGGGAGGAACATCGACATCACAAACAAAACACATATTTTCACTCGATTCATCGTTCTATGTTATTGTGCATGCATATACGATCGATCGATTAATCATATAGCATATCAAGCAATAATATCTTTATATTTGTTATTTATTTTTTTTTTAGTTTTCGAGTAATTCAAACCGTTCAAATATCGAGAGCTCGAACCTTATATACCACTATTTTTTCTCGGCGTTTTTTTTTACGTCATAGTTTACATTGTTATGAAAAAAGTCATTTTAAGCATATATAGTGTCACGTATTACAGACTCAAAGTCACCTTAGGTGAGATTCAACCTCACTGAGAAAGTTTCAAATACCCGAAATAAAAATCACTTATTGTTACTCGAGATACAAACTCTTCTCAGCTGTGATTCAAACCCTATAACCAAATAAGGTTCGAGTCTCGACTAATGGGGTTTGAATTGCAGCTGAGAAGGGTTTGTGTCTCGGCTAAATGGCTTGTGAATCTCTCAGTTAGGTTAAGTTTGAATCTCAGCCAAATAAAATTTAAAAATATTTCAACAAATATTTATAGTACATACTAAACGCATAATATTTATTTTAGTGTATTTCAGATGTCGGTTTTTCGTGTAAGAATCTTGTGATATCTTGCTGTAATGTGTTATTTTAGTGTTAAATAGATCGAGATATAAGGCCGGAGCACAGACTTTTACATAAAGCATAACGCATAAGCATAAGGAAATTGATTGGTCTATATATAAGCATAAGCAAATGCATAAGGAAACGGACCAATCAATTTCCTTATGCTTATGCGTTATGCTTTATGCAAAAGTCTGTGCTCCCGTCTATAGTCTACTTAATCTAACTTAACTTAACCTAACCTAACATGTGTCAAAAAATCTCGTGATATCGATACGAAGACAAAAGATTGCTATCGATCTCCCAACACAAAGTTACTTTCGTATCGAATTAGGTTAATCATTATTATTTATTATCACGTTATTCAATCTTGTGTGCATGATGCATTTTACAATTTTGCGTTGAAGGAAAGTTTCGCATTGAAACGTCCCTACGATCAGTAATTCTGTTGTGAACAGTTGTAAATGACGAGTTGACTCGCCAGAGTGCTGTTATAAGAAAATATGGCCGCGACGGCAAAGACTGTACTGCCTGAAGAAAGCGAGCTAACCGTTCGGGAGTTGGACGTTACCTGGCCGGTACTTCAAACCGCATCAGTTTATATCGGCAAGGCTTGCGAGTGGTATAATAATGTGAGTTACTTTTTACGGATTAGTTGGATTTTAAGAGAACGTTCTACGACGGTTCTACGATATTCACATGCTATTAATCGTCTCTCTTCAAAAGTTACATAATATTTCAAATTTCCGTATTAATATTTGACATACTACTGTTGGTAAATAATAATTTTACGTACAAAGCTCTTATTTAAAATAACAGGATTTTATATGCTTTTTGACAACTGATTTTTATCTCACAGTCATTTGGGAAATAAATTTACAAAGAGAAGTTTGTAGTAGTTCCATTAAAGACTTTGTTATTGAATTATAATGTTCAATATCATGCATAATGTGGCAAGAGATGCGCAAGGATGCAATCTATAAATAGAAGGAATCACCTCTTGTTTGAGGAAGATGACAAGCTTCTAGATATATAGCATTAGTTTTGCAATTCAAGAATGCGAGAATCCGAGATGTATGTATACAGTTCTTCCTTTTAATTGCTTTCTAATTTATTTCTTTTTTAGGAATTTATGTTATGTAGACAAGAAGAATGTGATCCACGTCGTTGTCTCAATGAGGGAAAAGCCGTGACCTCTTGCGCACTTGATGTTCTCAAAAAAATGAAGAAGCATTGCTTGGAAGATTTTAACGCGTATATGTATTGCCTCGAGAGATCATCGGGAACATTGGATTTTGCTCCGTACGTTGATTTATATCTTATGTGTATACACAACCAAGGAAAAGAAGTTTATGTTAATTTTTATATCTTATTGTTCCATCAATGATAATCTAATTATGTAATTTAACATGAAATTTGTTATTTAGGTGTCGGCAGACACAAGCTGCACTGGATCAGTGCGTTCTTAAAAATATGAATATAGAACGTCCACCTTACGGATACTTTTGTGAGGCTAAAGTGCACAATACATCCAGGCCGCGGCCACCGCCGGGCAATGAGCCCATAACATTTCCAGATCCAACTCCTGGTCTATCAGCTGACGTACCACGTGAGAAATCGAAATATAGCAATCGCTTTTGGTATAAATCTTAAATCTCTTAACAAATACCACTAGTACTTTGGCCGCGTTGCAAAAGTTATGCTTGTGAGATTTGGGACACATCAGGTAATTAGTCAATTGCAGGGAATCGAGCGTATGCAATTTGTAATGCGCTTCCGAACACTGTAGAAATGTTTGTTCCATATGAAATATGTATAGAATCGCCATTGTATATGTCTTGTGAATATAAATTTATGAATAGTAAAATAAGTGATTTGCTTGATATCATTGTTACACCTTATACATATATAAATATGGAACACTATAACGTTATCCCTTTTTCACTTGTCTATCGTAACTATTAAAACATTGTACATTTAATATCATTCTCACATGAACTCCTCAATGTGAGAATTCGTATAGAATTGTAAATATGTTAAAATCACCCGGTTTAATTGCACGATAATTTTACAGTCAGATTTTATTTTTTAACATTGTATAGAAACGGATTTAAATTAGACTAATTGTGAGGCGGATTATAAAATAATGGAATGTACTGCTTATAGACAATATTTGGCAGGACAAAAAATGCAGACAGAGTTCAATTGATAAAATTATATACTTTATTTACCACATGCCACATGACGTTATAATCACCATGAAAGTAGCACAAGCAAAAATATATCAACGCATTTTTGCTTTGGAAGATATGTGGTAATTAATTAAAAATATTGCTTTGTCAAGAGACTATTACGTCGTTTCATATACATCAGATGTGACCAATTTGATATAGCAAGTAACTTTTCCAGCCATTCAAGCGCCTACACTTGAAAAGCGCGATATGTGCGTGTGAATGTATACGCGTACATACACAACACACATACATAAAAACTTATTGAAATTTGTCACAGTTCCGCGGAGAAACATCATGTTCAAAATCGATTACATGAGGAATGTTACATCAGCTTTAACTCTGAGAACATAGTTTATATGCCGTAGACGCAAACAGCGGTCTCATCGTCAGTTCATCGCAATTAATATATTCATCTAGTTCGTCGAGTATCAAAGAAACAACACAGCACACAGTATTCCAAAAGAAAAAACAATACTGTACATCTTATGCAATCTACAAATCCTTGTATAGCATAATCATGTGTTAGCTCCATGTAATGTCATAACCACTCCAATTCGCACTTGGCGCTAAATGTACACGTCTTCCATTATAGAAAAATGTCACCACGCCACGATATCCAGATCTAGGTACACCGCTCTGTAACACCGTATTACAGTATTATGAAACAGTTAAAAATGTCATGTGTGAATCTTAATAAGGATAGATTATTACCCTGAAATCGTCCATTAAACCAAGCAACTTGGTGGTATTTTTAAACGATTGACGAGTGTAATAAGGTATCCGTACTGGACCAGGGGTAATTATGTTCCCACTCTTCAATTCTGAATAGCTAACCACTGTCGATTGATACACTTGGTTGACGAAGGCTATATCGTAGTTATCCTATGAAAGTTACACAATAATGACAAATGCATTTTGTATTCAACATGGGAGCATATACTCGCAGATAACTGTATCAAATACTTGCTCTTACTTTTAGTAAATAGGATAGATTCATCTTGGTGAAAGGCACAAATTGTTCATTCAGCTTGATGTACTTCAAGTGTTTTTCAAAGAATAATCCACTGGAAACAACACGAGATTTCATGTTTGTGTTAAAATATGCTCATATTACAACGATCAGTCTCGAGTTATATCGACACATTGACATTTATTTACTCTTGTGATATATTCTTAATGTATAGATGATATATAAATAAAATATAAATAAGTCCTACTTGCTGACTCCAAGTTTGCCGAATGTCCTGGTTCGCGATATTTCTGGACGAATACAAGCTCTATTCTTACGCTGTTCCGGCTGCCTTATCCAGTCGTCCCAATATCTACGTAAGCGAAAGATATATTATCAGAGATGTAGATACCACGAAAAAGGCATCGATAACAAATCACGCTGATGATAAATCAAACATGCGTGCGTTTGTATGAGAAATAAAATTATACTCGCGATTTGGGCCATTTTGGTGCAAGCTCCAACCATAAATCGCGCGTGAGCATCCAACCTAAACCAGGAAAGAAATCTGTCCTATAAAGCAAATGTGGCGCATGTTCGTCGACCAAGCCAGCTTTACCGTTATCATTCCACGCTGACACACACCATAGAGAGCTATCATTCACTAATAGGGAATAAGTCCCCAGGAAGTACTCGTAAAAGTCTGGAGCAATGTCCAAGTCATCTACATATTCATAACAAAAATTATGAGCATTAGAATTTTGATTTTAATTTAATTTCAATCTTTATATCTAAGTATCGCACACCTGCTGAAGATGTATCACATTCACAATTTTATGTAATGGCTATTAACACTTGCACTTATAGATTTTACAAGTTATATTAATCGTACCTTCCACTATAATTGCAGTACTGTAACCAAGCTTTACAAATACTTGGTTTAACGCCCATTTATAATGACGCGCGATTTTAAAGTATCCTCTAAATTTCTTTTCTTTAGGTGGTATTTCAATATCCGATTGGTCAGGTTGCTGAAATAATCACAAAAATTGCAACAACTCCATCTCAAAAGTTACAGGAATATAAATTAAAGCGTAATCTCACTGTAGGAAAATTATGAGTTCTTGGAATGAATATATAAAAACATGCACAAATTAATAACTTTTAAATTAATACCTTTATATGTAGCACCTGATTTTTATATCTCGCTATGACATCAGCAGTTTGTCGATGGTCGCAGTCTTGCGATACAACTATTGGAAATTGTTCTTTGCTAGGTCTTAATTTTATTAATTGATCTAGACATCGGTCTACCGTAACACGATTGCAAGAAACAACCAAAATAGCTATTATTGGAGATCCATCTGGTAGCTTTTGCCTCGAAGGAGTACTGTGTGTCGGTTCCGTCTATTGTGAGACATCGGAAAATAAAAAATTGAGAATAAGATATTGTCAAGTTAAAAAAAAGAAAAAAAAGATGACATTCATTTATGAATTATAATTATGTTTGACAGATCGTTAACATTGAATTAGTAAGATTGTAGAGATTACAGATAAGATGGCATTGTGTGTTGGCCTCTCTGCACTTTTAGATCTCTTCCAGTCATTTTTATCCTCTATTTTCTGCAGCAGGATACTATTGACTTTGTTACTTTTATGCTTGTCCTTTTCTATATCCTTTTCATCCATTGGTAATTGGACAGCATTTGATTTGTCATATTCTTCTAAAACATGTAAGCATATATTATTTTTGATCCATTGTTTCTATATTTTTCAGTATATGCAGCATAAATTTTTTAACATATATTACTTTTACGACGTTTACTCTCATTGATTCCTTCAAGAAGCTCCTGATTTATAATTATCTGTTGTTTTACTTCTTTTTCCAATCTGCTGATTTGATTCGACAGCTTATCCTAAGAGTAAAGGCAAAATATATATTATATACACTTGTGTGTATGTATGTATGTATGTGTGTGTGTGTGTGTGTGTGTGTGTGTATGTGTGTGTGTGTGTGTATATATGCTTACTAATATTCCAAATTTTCTTATAATAGATTACAGTGTATTATAACCATTTTTTTCACCTTATCCTGATCTTTGTCAACTGTTTGTTGATCCAGAAATAAAAAGTATGTAGCCACAGCCCATAAGATAAGCGAGCCAAAAATAATACTGACTGATCTGTTCCGCATGACAAAGTCAGGTGTCACCTTAACTGTAACATCAAATTTTATTACAGGGATGAAAAATACAGATAAAAAGCAAGAAGAAACAAATACTAACAAGGGTTCCACTTGTTGCAATACACGTCAGTACATATTTATTACAGGATTCCTAATGTTTTGGAGGTTTTGTGTCTCCTCTGCAAAATTGCAGCCACTATTATGACTCATCCCGATAAATTGATATACGACAATTACAACAGTTGACATTGGCAGTTGACATTCGGTGATGTTACTTACACGTATTGTATCCATGAACAGGGATATCTGTACTCATAAATCATACAGAAATGTCGTACTCCATATTGCTCAAACAAAATGCGTTTATATGGTCACAAGAAAAAAATACAGCAGAGTGCATTATTCACGTTGCTCGTGGACAAGAACTGTGTTATGTGAGTAACACAAGTGCATTTCACTCAACATATATAATATGTACACAGAACATTCAATAATCAACAATACCAGGGAACATGGATTTTACTGAAATTAACGTTCACTAATCGTTACAACATTCGATCATTTTTCGCAACGATGTTACCATACGGATCTATATTGAGTGACATTAAAAATTTCGTGAACCACATGTTACGAAGCGGTTGATGACACTTCGCAACTATATCGCGAGTTCTTAGGTTACTTACCATGATGATACAGGAAGTGACACGGAATCCTTGCGGATCAACTCTTCAATCCACTATGATTTATTGTAACAAAGCTAAACGAGATTGACACGCCTCATCCTCGAGAGACGACGAATTGCCCAGGATGAAGCAAAGCCGGACACTTGCCTCTCACGCCGCGATTCGGGGATTGTCAACTAATGTAAATCTGTGTGGCTCGCGTACATTACGAGACACGCTCTACTCGCTCTACTGTCGCGGCAGTGCTTGCGATTAGCGATAATGCTGATGTAATAATAAACGTGGCAGCCGTGACAACTGTGCGAAATAGCATTCCTTATCATTCTTTATTGTCGCTGTTCGATTCGAGGGAATTTTACTGTTGACACGATAGCATCTATTCAATCAGCAGTAGTTAGCAGGCGCGCGCGCTCAATGTTAAAAGCGCGCCGATATCAATCGACATAAACAGACAGGTGCAGGCAGGGCAGGCAGTAAAAAGGAGAATCATTCTTTCGTCTAATTTTTAATATCTTTTAATCGAATACAATCAGGTTCGTCACTACGTAACGAATGTAATGATGTTATATATGTATATGCATATTTATCGATTACATCGTACTAGTTGCAAATTATTTTGCTAATCTTATCAGGTATCAACAAAGTAGAGTGAAATAATGAAGAAAATATAAAAGATACATTGTTGATATATCAATGTTAATTCAATTTATATAATTTAATCAGTAGAATTTAACTTAAAAATTTTCATTTTACTAATTTTGTAACTTTACGTGCGCAAATTTTCTTGAAGAATTATTTCTTCTCTCAAGATTTCGTTAATGCGATATTTTATACAATGATTTAATTTTATGATCATAATAAAATTACGACAAAAAAGGAGAAAGGGACAGAAGCAAAATAAAAAAAGTCGCCCTCTTCAGATGGTCGGAATAAAATTGTTATCACATTTGATCGTGATATTAGTTCAACTTACCGATGTATGGTTACGTCGAGTAGTTTCTCGAGTTTGTCACTGAGAGCACTGTATTCGCGATTCACAGCTTTGTTTTGTACAGACGGGGTCGTTATGGCGCATCAGCGAAATCGTCCTAAAATAAGATTGTAATTCGATGCAGCATTTTGCTGCATTCCGAACACATTGTGACAGTAAATGATCCACTGAATCATCCATTATTTTTGAAATTTTTCGTGGAAACAAAATATTTGGAAAAAGAGAAATTGAAAGGACAAAGTATCTCGAAGAAGTACTGTGTGCTTTCAAAAGAGCAGATATCCACAAAAGAAGAAAAAGAGTCCCTAACGTGATAATCATTTCATGTTTGCTGCATGATTCGCAGTACGACGTAAAAGTTGTAGATAAGAACGGCCGTGATGGTGACACGAGTGTGAAAATGTATTGTACGACACTCGGCAGATGGTAACAAAACCAAGTCAAAGCTTTACTTTTATCTTTTACTTTCGTGGTAGCTTGTTCGCCAGGACTGACAGCTCTTTCTCATAGCTTTTGCAGGAGGGATGCGATGAGGGCTTTGAGCACCGGCGAAGTCTCCACCGCGTTGAGGCCATTTTACTTCACCGTACATCCTGATCTATTCGGCCAATATCCCACGCAAAGGGTAGGCACTGTTGCATCAAAATAAATGCATCCTTACTGGAAAGATGCAAGAAATTTGATCGATGAATTGCATTGAGATATGACATTCATGCGTCATCCTTTTGCACTTTTTCTTTACACATTTGTCATTTCTCGTACATAAAATAATACAAATGCAATTTGTCCAATTGCTTTAGTTACAATTTTATATCTTATTTTTTTTAAAGCCTGAAAATAAGTACATTTATGTACTTACTACTTTGCAGACGGTGAATGAGAATTCTCTGAAGCAACTGAGTTCAATCTTGGAGACTTTACAACAAAAGCAACCTATACGACCGACTATTTTGCCCTTTTACTTGCGTTCAAAAGATGAAAAAGAAGTAAAAGCTGGTAAATTTACACTTGTAAAAATACAGCTGAAAGAAAAAGATCTGAGACAAACGATACTTTCTATCTTAAAAACATGCGATTTACCGACAACGTTTGTCGATAAAATTGAGGAACAGAAGCCTGTCACAAAGTGCAAATCCAGCTTTTGGCAATGTTCCGGAATAAAGGCAGAATTTTCAGAATTAGAGGATGATCCTATTTACGCATCCATTATTATGAAACGAAAGATTAATGCAGAACCAGATACGCTAAAGCAAGTATAATATCGAGATATTTTCTTAATGTCTCAGGCATATTGAATTTATATTTTCATCCAATGTATTTCTTTCAGGGCATATTTGGACAAACATATCAATGAAGCGCATGTTAAATTGGAGGCGTGTAGACCAATGAGAGATGAGGTGGAGAAACTGGAGAAAATATTGTGTAGCGATTTGGGATTGAAGGATATTGTGTGGGATTGCGGTTGGAATATCGCTCATTATCGCGGTTGTTTATTAGCTTTTCAAGCTTTAGCTGAGCATCATCCAGAATCGATGGAGGTGTTGAGGAATCGGACTCTCGTATTTGCTAATGATACCGGTATCAGTTTGGAAGGCAACGTTATGCTGAATTCCGGCGAGGTTAGGCACAATTGGCTTGATGTAGGTTGACAATTATTATCTTTTTATCCGTGTCAAATTGCCTTTAAATCTGCTAAATTTGTCTATCTTTTGCAGCTAATAAAGAACGTAAGAAAACACGATGCCGTGTTGTTGAAATTACCGGCATTTGAGAAGGCAGTGTCCCAAGTACTACTCGACATTAAAGTCGGTCGACGGTGCGTAATACATCATATTATTTGAGTTATGGTAAGGCTCAGGGTGCTCTATATGTGCAGGAAATTCATGCCCAAAGTAATGGTCGGCCAGTATGAGCGACAGCTGCGGCAACTCACGACTACGCTCTCAGATTATCGCGGCAAGAGGAAATATCCAAACTCTTGGCCGATCAGTTTATCGGCTTACGAAATTGTCATCGAAGCGTTAGTATTATCGCTTAAATATCATGCTCATGGACGACTCGTAGATCATACAAACATGTTTGTTGCGATCTTGTTACAGCGAAGCTGGTCCTTTAATGCTGTCGCCGACTGGACAATTCATCGTGCCCTCATCATGTCCAAGTTTTCTCTTGGTGAATTTTATTAGTGAGAATTTAGAAGAGGCCACAAAAAGACTACATCATTATAATAAGTAAGATATTTTGCAAAGAAATAACAATTGTACCTTTGCTAGGTTAAACATTTATAACATTTAGATTATTATTATTTGTGCGTATTTATTGTAGCATAAAGCACGTGGAACGAGAACTTCACCGTAAAACTATTAAGGAATTAGGTTTAGCAGCTCTCAACAAAGACGATAGCATTACACCAGATCTAATGATACAATGTTGCGAACGATTGCTTTTGCATAAAAGAGATTTAGCATCATCTCTTCAGGGTGTTATGCTCTGGGTTACGCATTATTATTCCGTTATGAGTGACGGTGTTCTTTGCGTACCATGGGATTGGAAGTTGTAACTTGTAATAAAAACGTAATACCTTATTATTGAACCACTAGTATAATTAATTGCACAATGTAAATATTTTACAAGTTTTCCAATTTGTAAGATGGGTATAAATGATTGTTAGAGTGATTTGAAGCAAGCAATTATCTAGATACATAAAATAAACTTACAAAACGGTTTACATTATAATCACTGTTACGATGGTTATGCACATTTTAATTACTATTAATTCATCGAAACGATTGTCATTGTATAATAACCCGTCGCTTCTAATCTTACGTTTAGTCAGATTAAAAGAAGGAACAAAAGCAAACAGAATGTGAACTAAGGCTATGCTGTGTATACTTTCGATACTGTATAGCAAAATTATACTAGTCTCTTGGTGCCATTGTCACGTTACATATATTTTTTTAACAAATTTAATTCCGCGAATTCAAGTGCGTCGATTGTTTATATATGTAATCTCAAGATAAAAAATAAAATGAGATTTGCGATAATCAAATTCGCATTCATCAGAAAATCATTGTAATAATTTCACAAGCAAGCAGTCTTTATCAGATAATAGAGTTTTACAAGTATGATAAAGAAACTATGAAGACCTCTCTTGTAATCGTAAATAACCGTAAACCACAGATTAATAATTTTCGTTCTGTGATAGAACTTTTATATTTTCATCTCTCTAGCTGTATTATTCGTGCCGCGAATAACATATAAACAAATAAATTCCTGTATTTATATTTATCGCAAAGTCACATACAAAAATAATTTTTTTTTCCGATGTGTTTGCTTTTCGCGATTATTCACAAAAGCAATATAAAGCTATTGTTGCACACGGCTGTAACATGCTTCATTGCGATTTAAATACAGACAGTATATAATTTTAAACGCCGAGGTAGTCTAACAATCGCTTGATAAATTTCAATTTTTCTAAATCGTTACAAAAGTTCAACTATCCTTCCAGTTACATCACATCTGACACGGATTCTTCAATATTCGGTACGTACGTTTGATGAGATATATACGCAGAAATAATTGTAGAAAAAAAGAAAATATATGTAGAACATTCGCTTCATTATATCGATTTAGACAAAAAGTTTGGTGCTTTCATATATTTCGATTGAAATATACGAGAATAATAAAAATCATCGTTAGACAGTATAAAAATATTGACGAATAGTTCCAACAAATTAGGGTTAGGTGTCAGGTTAGGTAAAACTGTCCATTTTGTCATTAAATTTTATATATTGTCTTGTACTATCTATTACACTATGTTGTATCAATAAGATGTTTATTTATCGTTCTTTATCATAATAGTTTAAAATTCATAAAACTTCGATAAGAACTGCATTTTGTGCCTTTATTTTTATATATATATATGTGTGTGTGTGTGAGTGTGTGCGCCACATTGGTACTCGTGTTTTACTCCTCTCTAATCCCGAGAAGACTTTTTTTCTCTTTCTAATTTAATCTAACCTTTAAAATTTCAAGTATTTATAACAGAAATAAGAGCACAAGATCTATATTAAATTTAATATTACTGAAAACTTTCAACTAGATGAACAAGTGAATCAAACTGCTATAATCATGCATGTTTATACGATCACATATCAGACAGATTTTTTAATTTTAAAACACGTTGTTTTTGACAGCTCAATACGTCTCAATCGTGTCGAACGGCACCTTTCATCGTCACATTCTCATTCAACATATCAAGATGCACCCTTAAAAAACTTAGCGAAATCAGTAAAAAAGTGCGTATTCTATTTATTTATAGGCGATAATTTATTTATTATATTTGTCACGTTGCATATTTAAGATCATTAATATTGACATAGAATTATTCAACAGGATACGTTTTTGACTATGAGAGAGCAGTAATAATAACTTTCTTCAATTAATTCAAAATTAGTTTACTGATTCCAATAAGAATGGCATTGGAGTTAATTAACTATTTAAAGGACCCACAACTAGTCGCATCAATTCAACAATTTTTTGGTGTCAAAATACATTACTATGAACATTATGAAAACCTTAAGGAGAGTAAAACATCGCAAAATGAAGACAACAAATATATTTCTGAAAAAATTGATAATTATAAGAAGAATCATGTTTTCACTTGCCACAGTAAAGAAATAAATGGTTGCGACGCAAACAACAAACAGTTCAATGGATGTAGGCAAATAGAATACTCTAGAGAAAAAGATGAGTCGACAAAAAAACGGGAGAAAGAGACCTCAATGGTTTTACAGAATCCACATTATACAATCACAAATTTGTTTTGGTATTATTTATTTTTATTTGGTACTGAACTAGGAGACGAAATATTTTATTGCGCTTTTATACCTTTCTTGTTTTGGAATATTGATGGAGCCCTTGGCAGAAGAGTAGTCTTAGTATGGGCCACTGTTATGAGTATCGGTAAAATCAATTGATAATTAGAAACAGTAATATGTGTGTGTACGTGTGTTTTACACTTGACCAAAGACCTTGTTATCAAATTTGTATGAAATGTTTTCAGGACAGATATTGAAAGATATAATTCGTTGGCCCAGGCCGGCGTGTCCACCAGCAGTCAGATTACAAAATAAATGGTCACAAGAATACGGAATGCCATCCACTCATGCCATGGTTGGTCTCACAATTCCATTTAGCATAGTATTATTTACAATGGATAAATATATTTATCCATTTTCTATCGGTTGTACGGTTGCTTTCATTTGGTAAGTAACATATCGCAATTGGCAATTGTTTCATCAATCAATCATTAAATGACTCATCAATTCGCTTGTATTCGTGTAAAATAATTCAACTCTGTAATGTACAATGCTTTTCTCAGGTGTGTACTCGTCAGTACGAGTAGACTCTATCTAGGTATGCACACCGTCCTGGATATTGTGGCGGGCTTAATATTAGCGACTGCATTAATGGTACCGTTGGTACCTTTAGTAGAAATGACAAATGTCTACATCATCACAAATGTCTGGCTATTAGCGATACTGATCGCAGTCAGTATCGCCACTATCGTATATTATCCATGCAGTGACAAATGGACACCTACCAGGTAGATATATAATGCACGAATAATCGATATTGCAATTATCGCAACGACAACATACGCCTAATTAATTAAGTTTTACAAGATTATTACAAATTATACTTATCTGTAATTTTTTATTCACTCATCTATTTCAGAAGCGATACCGCAATGGTTGTATCAGTCACAGCAGGAATTCATACAGGTGCATGGTTCAGTTATTACACAGGTGCACTGAGTACGTCGCTATTTTCGCCGCCATACAATATCGTTTGGCCGACGCCCTTTACACTCGGTCATTTGATTCTTAGAACCATGCTCGGTTTCGCTGGTGTTATCGCGACAAAAACTCTTTGTAAATTTCTCAGCTATGCTACAATGTGTGCCATATTAGGAATCAATTGGAGGGAGCTCATGAAATGTCAGGACTATAGCGGAAATCAAAATAAGGTCTTCGTCGATCTAGTTAACAAATATGTAGCTTGTTTCATGATAGGTGTAAATACAGTGTATTTTTTGCCACAAACTTTTAGCACGATAGGTATAGAACGACCGACGTTTCGTACCGAAATGTGAGAAATTTATCTCGTTCGATTTATATCGCTTTGCGAAATATATTTTATATCTCGTTCGTTCGTTGAGTTAATAATTTTTACGAGTTTATTCATTTCTATTTCCGTAGATATATTTAGCAAATAAATAGCTGATACATACCGTCACTGAAACTTTAGAAATTAAGAGGCTTTAGAATCAGGAAACATGATAAAACTTGAATCACGTTTATAAAATGTGGAATCGATAAAAATTTGTTGGAATCGGGAAAGGCGCAAACGGAAAAGAGAAATTACTCTTTTGTATTCTTGTATCTCCTTTTTTATTTTTCTTCCATCAATATATCTACTCGTAAAACCTGGAAAATAAGAGCATATACACTTCTACATGTATCCTAATGTAAAAAAAAAAAAAGAAAAAGTAGAAATTCTCACCGAAATATTACGATCGAAAAAGGCTTTCGCGTTATTCGCCTTTAGCGTATACGGCAGTAAAACGTCGTACATATCGGAAGCTTTTTTATCCGTGACATTTATGCGATCAGAATTAATCAATACTTCTACGTCCTCAATTGAAACCTGCAAGTGACAAAACACGTTACACTTACATCATCGGATCAAATGTCGATCTGTAAAACAGATAATCTATGTAATAATTTTGTGACTCACGCTTTTCGGCATATTAAACAAAGCAATTAAACGCTCAACCGGGCCTTTCAGTGGTTTTCTTAAAATTATACAATCTCTTTTACCGATATTTCTAATTTGTGGATACATCTCATTGTCAGTACGTTTCGTAGAATGCGACATTTCCTCTATCAATGGTCGACCTTGCGGCTTTCTAGGCTCACGTTTCTCTATCCTGTGCTGCTGCAGTTTACCCATTACCTATAACATTATCCGATATCGATCAACAAACTTCAGATATTACGGTATATTTTTTTTTCTACGTGTACATACCGTCCGATTTTTAAGAACAACATAATTTTCTGTATCGAGTTTTTTGTCAAATTTGTCCGCTACACCACTCAATACAACCAATACTGTAAACGCCATGAAATGTTTTCTCTTTTGACATTTCTTCAAGTAAGTTGAATTGATCACGACATCGAAAGTTGCACAAGGTACGCCAGCTGTAAAACAGATTGTAACATTTTACAAATACTAGTTTCTTATCTCGCCACCATGTCTTTGTAACATTCTTTTAGAAAACAAGGAAGCAGCTTTGTCACACCTTTATCCACCTCCGTCCTTTCAGCACCAATACTCATCGGTATGGTATAAGCAGGTACTTCATCATTTAAAAGTTGATACAATTTAGCATCGGATATATCTTCCGGCGATGGAATCACATCCGTCACACATATATTTACGAAAACCTTTTCCTTATTAGTTGATCTAGTCTTAATACAAATACCTACAATCACATTTCAGAGCTTAGATTCTTTATACAATTAACGACAAAGCGCAACACAAACCAGGAATAGGTTGCACAAGAATCGATGGTGTCCTGTCAAATTGTTTCATCAATTCGTCCATCCGCTGATTCAAAGCATCTCTGTTCTCATCCTATTAAAAAATGGAATATATAAATATATGAATATATATACCGCAGTTAGCGTTTATACATAAATTCGCTTTATATTCGTCACGTATTTACAGGTAATAATAAGTTTTTCGTCCCAATAGAATCGTCAATATCAAGGAAAGTGGTTTTATCCATAGCTGCGCAATTATTAAGAATATAATAAAATATGTATTCACACAAACATCCAATTTCTCTTCCAGCAACAACTTTTGCAACAAGGAACCGCGAGTGTCGCGTGACTCGGTTTGAAAACAACAAACATACCAACAGCTGACACAACCGTTAGGCCGTGATGCCAGGACGAAGAGAGACACGGTCCCACGTAAACCGTAAAGCCCGTATCAGACTACGCATTGAAGATTGAAGTTTGTCCAATCGAAAGAAAAGGAGCTAAAAGTTCTTTATCTCGATTGGTCAAATGTCAATCTTCAATCTCAATCTTCAGGCTGCGTTCCAAAATTCACTACCAGTACTGAAAATTTACAATATACGTAACGTAAACTATAGATTTTCAGCACTGGCAGTGGATTTTGGAACACAGCCTCAATGTGTAGTCACAGACGTATAATAAATATACTGCGCGGTTGGCTGAAAAGTTGTCTTTACTTTAGAAAGAGACAACTGGTATTGACCAGTAGTCTCATCTTTGTCTAGTGAAGTAGAAGGAGATAATAAAGTCTTCGTTGATCGGTAGATATTGGACGGTAATCATAATCCTGAAAGTTACTCGACAAACGATAAATACGACTGGACAAATGTGGCTCTAGTTCCGACTATAATTTAACGCTCAGAGCACCGCGCGCCCTGTAGCGTGGCCTGTTCGTTACCCGTTTGAATCGAACCACGTGCTCCGATTGGTGTAACTCCGACTGTAGTAAATGAATGTCAGGAACACGAATAACCTTCTAAACTTTCTAAATTAAATTGAATGATAAATGGTCTTTATCACAAAATGCAGAATACACTTAATTTTAGTCATCCGTCCGCAAGACTAGATCTAATTCACCGACGACTCTATTTCGACTGATCCTAATGCTGGCTCTGAACAGAGTACCGTTTTACATGCGGCTCCGGAAAAAGAAGCCGGTCTCGTATATTCGAAGATATTTCGGATTGTTCGTCGTATCCGGCTTCGTATGGAACATCGATTGATTGTATCGTTCGAGTTTCGATATATCGCATGTCGAGGTATCGCTGGCAGCCAATTGCTAGCGCCTCCTGTCGGTTGACTATCGAAAAGTCTTACAGTGCAGTGTAAAAATGGGCGATGCTAAAAAAAAATCTACTTTAAAATAAACGATTATCAAAAATAACTTTTTTTTTTTTATAAACGATTAATTCTTGAAAATATCGACGATGTTTGATTAATTTCTAATTTTTATAACAGGTCTGGTTTACACCGTTTAGTACGTATACCAAATACTAAATGTGCTACTGTGATTAGTGTAAATTTTAAACAACAATTTATATTTATCAGAGAAGCAGATTTAGTACGCATACTAAACGATCGGTGTAAACAAAATCATAAACAAATCTGAAGCCCATATCAGACTACATATAAAAGATTAAGGCCTGTTCTACAATAGAGACGTAAGCCGTAAGTCGTAAAAAATTCTCTAATCACAGACTACGTTTACACGTCACGCATAATCGGGTTTAATAACATGTAGTAATAAAACCAATCACAGCTATACCTCTGAAAAATGGATTGACTATGATTGGTCAGTTTCACAACTACGGATGTTGTTAAACCTGATTATGGGTGACGTGTAAACGTAGTCACAAGCAAATTATAGAAAAATAATAGACTGTGATTGGTTAATTTCTTACGGCTTAAAGCTTACTACATCTATTGTAGATTCAGTCTTATAACTAATAAATCTAACAAAAAATGTAACATAAAAAAAAAAAAAAAAAAGTTAACGATGTTGCAATTGATAAACATAAATACATTGGATGAATAATCGTTTTCTTAATAAAAAAAAAAGCAACGGTTCGATTAATCAAGTGATTTTTGCCCATCCCTAGTGCAGTGTCACGGCAAGGTACAGTATACGATGCGCACGCGGTGCCAGTGCTGCCAGTCGGGCCGGATTGCCCCTTCAATCCTTTCTACAAACCAGGCCGTGCACAATAACGTATTATAAGCGTGCGGACCCCAGAAAAATTATACATATATTGAATAATAAAGATATTTGATAAGTTAAAGAAAAGTAAAATATTTAAATAAAAAAAAAAAAAAAAAAATGCTACAACTTATCCTGTCCTGTCAGTCTAATGGAGCCCACCAAACTGCGCATTTATAACACATAGATGTATTTATCATCGCAGGCGCATGCGCGACTTAACCGGCGAAAGAGCAATTCGGCCCGACTGGCAGCACTGCGCGGTGCACTTTGCGATCTAGTCGCTCTGCAAAACTACCGAGGTAAATAAGTAATCTTTCTCAAGGGTAGTCTCGTCCGACATAAGTCTGCAGACAGACAGGCAGATATACGCGGGTATTTATTATGTTCATTCGTATTCTTACTTCAGGTGCGAGGTGCTATTCGACTGGTGAGTACATCTATTAACTATTTTTTTTTTTTTCTTTTTACAACAAAGATCAGGACAAGCAATAACAGAGTTGGATCAGGATTAGATCAGAGTCCTCTGCGATGGAATGCATCTTTGACGTGATGCAGAGGCTCCAATAGCTGGACTCTCTGAGTTGCAAGACTCTGAGGTGACGGCATGGGTCAAAGAGCATGCCTAGAAGGAAAATTTCAAAAGAAATTCGGAGCGCCAAGGCCCGTTAAAAATCGAAAAACACTTCACCAAATAGGAAAAAAAAAAATTATGGAGGAAGATAACTCCAAAACAAACCTGGGACCTGGCCAGTCTCGTTAGCACGCCGGTACTCCGGCATAACGGCCGGCCCTCATTGCACGTGGAGAGTGGTTCTCCGCCCACTCCCCCTGCCGTTATATTGATAGGGCTACAAAAAAAAAAAAAAAAAAAATTTGCGAAAGTGTCATGATCAACCCTTCCCCTGCGGTCTCTTAGTTTTTGAGATATTTTGAGAATAAACTCTCGCTCTATTCATTGTCGTCTTAATCGCTACAAATAATCAAATTAAATAAGAAAGTAGTGGAGCTGTCGTGGGGTAGCAAGTTAAGCGATAAATTTGTGAAACAAAAGATCCCGAGTTCAAAACCTGGTCGGCTCCCAAATTTCTCAAGGTTTACAATTTAGACTAAGAGATAAGTTTTCAAGATTAAAATCCAGAATTAAAAAAATCCCAGATGTCAGATCCAGATGTCAGGTCCAGATGTCACTGGTGATAAATATACTGAGACACTGCAAAAGGCAAAAGCAGCCATCAATCTCAAAGAGTTGGGCATTGAGAATACAAAGGTTAAACCTGCATTTACAGGAGCAATAATAATTCAAATTCCGGGCGAACAAGCAAATGATAAGGCAGATACTCTCGCGAACAAATTAAGGGAGGTTTTCGAGGGGGAAGAGGTCAAAATTGGACGACCTATGCAAAAAATAGATCTAAGAATCTCCGATCCTGAAGATGCCACAATGCCAGAAGAAGTTGTACAAATAATTGCAAAAAAGGGTGGCTGTCATGTAGATGACATACGACACAACCCTATTAGACGATACAAACGGGACATGGGTGCGATATGGCTCCAAGTTCCTGCTCTGGCTGCTGTTAAAGCTGCAGAAGAGGGAAGAATAAATATCGATTGGACAATAGCACGAATAGAGGTACTACAAAAAAGACCAATACAGTGTTACAGATGTCTAGCTAGAGGACATACCAGCAACAGATGTCCTCCAAATAACGTGGATCGATCTTCACATTGTTACAACTGTGGAGAAGCAGACCATAAGGTAGGAACATGTATGAAAAAAGCATGCTGCCCAATCTGTAAGGGCAGAGGACTAAAAGACGATCATAGAGCGGGTAGCACTGAATGCCCGCCATGTCCCCCTATTAAGGGTAGATCTAGTACACCTGTCTCAAATACGAGACAGGTAACAAGTATGGAGATAGAGGACACCGATATACAATAATGGCCTTATCTCTCATTTTAGCTAACGTTAATCATTCTGGCGGGGCTCAGGATCTACTCAGTCAACACATGGCTGAGTGGAGCACGAGCCTTGCCATTGTAACGGAGCCCTACTATGTGCCGGACAATTCTAGGTGGTGGGGCTCAACTGGGAACCCCCCCAAGGTGGCAATCACTTGGGGTGGTGGTGATGTGGGGAAAAACCTCCCTTGCAATTTAATCGAGCGAACAACGGATTGGATAGCTGTAGACTGGGGCGGTTGTCTAATCGTTGGATGTTACTGCTCACCGAGAAGAGGTGTAAATTTCAGGGCTTTCCTCAGCTCGATGAGCACAATATTGGATCTTTATAGTAGAAGACCAGTACTAATATTAGGGGACTTCAACGCCAGATCCCTACAATGGGACAAGAAGAGCTCAATTAGAGGCGAAATGCTAGCAGAATGGGCTGCGGGTAGAGGCCTTATATTAACTAACAAGGACAACACATCCACATGTGTCAGACCACAAGGCCGATCAACTATCGATCTTGCATGGGCAAACCCAGCCATGCTTAGCAAAATAAGAAACTGCTATGTAGATCTGGAAACTCCAATTGCCTCAGATCACTTATATGTTCGAATAACTATAGGATCCACTCTTGATCGAGTAAAGGACAAATTAAAGGAATCTAGACTTCGTCTTCCCAGATGGAATGGGAAGAAGTTGAACAATGATCGACTAGAGGCCGCGATCATGGCCAAGACATGGATCGATAGAGAGCTATCGGAGGGAGGTGCAGTTGAGCAGGCTTCCTGGCTAGACACCACACTGTCCGAGGTCTCTGATGTGGCAATGCCAAGAGCTAGAAAGACCAGGCAGAAGTATACATACTGGTGGTGTGAAGAAATAGCCACACTAAGAGAAAACTGCATAAAAACAAGAAGAATAGTCACGAGAACAAGGAAAAACGGAAGGGACGACATAAAAAAACATGCAGAAAGACAACACACAGATGCACAAAGAAGACTAAGACTAGCTATAAGAAAAGCAAAAAATAACGCAAGGAGAAAACTCTTAGAGACGATTGACCAGGATCCCTGGGGAAGACCCTTCCAAATCGTAACTAGGAAAATGAAGCCCCAGACTATGCCGTTAGTCGCTGCACTACCGCCAAATACTGTGGAGAAAATACTCAGTGTACTATTTCCGCCGGGTGATGGATACCGAGAACTCCACAGAAAACAGATTACATGGCAGGCCGAATGGGATGTTCAAGAATCAGAGGTGAAACGAGCTCTGAAAAAGATACAAGGAAACAAAGCCCCTGGTCCGGGAGGAGTACTTGGATCTGTAATAACTGGAACGGCTAAACACCTACTATCAGCTTGGGCAAAATGTTGCAACTCTTGCCTGAAGGAAGGCAAATTTCCAAAGAACTGGAAGATCGCGAATCTGGTACTTCTCCGGAAAAAGGAAGGTCAGATGGATGATCCGGCTTGTTATCGCCCTATTTGTCTGTTAGATGAACCTGGTAAACTAATGGAAAGGTTAATAGTTGGTCGCATTAACACTTACCTCCAAGATACCGATGGACTCTCCGATGAACAGTACGGATTCAGAGAAGGCAGATCCACGATAGATGCTATCCTTCGCCTACGATCGTGCGTACAAGAGCAGAGAGAACAAGGACGAGTGGTGCTGGCAGTAGGGTTGGATATCGCCAATGCGTTCAACACCCTGCCATGAGGCACCATCCTCCGAGCCATGAAAAGAAAGGGATTTCCCGAATATCTGCTGGAAATAATCAGAGACTACTTGAGTGATAGGTGGCTGGTGTATGTAAACCAATATGGTGAAATCGCCAAGAAGAGGGTCACTCGAGGGGTTCCTCAAGGGTCGGCACTGGGCTCTACCCTATGGAACATAGGGTATGACAAAGTGTTGGAATCTGCCGATCGGCTGAAGATGTGTACGGTGCTCTGCTACGCAGATGACACGGTTCCGCTTACCTCTGGGGGCTCCATCAAGGAAGCGGCGTGTAGGGCGGAACTCGCGGTGGCCTCGTTGGTCCTGGAAATAGAAAAATTAGGATTAAGAGTCGCCCCTGCGAAAACGGAAGCAATGGTCTTCCCAGCTAGCGCCGTCAGAGGCCAGACAGTCTCCATACTAGTCAAAGGTGAACCGGTAAAGGTAAAAAACACCATGCGCTACTTAGGCGTCACGCTAGACGGAGACTGGACATTCGCACCGCATTTTATGGGCGCTATTCCCAAAGCCGAAAAGATGTTCACCGCTCCGGCATAATGCCAAACTTGAAGGGGCCTAGAGAACAGACAAGAAGATTGTATTCCAACGTGATACATTCCGTGTTATACGGAGCACCGGTATGGGCAACAGACTTAACCGGAAACGTTGCAATTAAAAAAAATGGAAATATCCAAACTACAAAGGGAAATTTCCTTGAGATTGTGTTGCGGGTATCGCACAATCTCATTCGTGGCGGCAATGATCCTGGCGCGTCAGATACCGCTGGATCTGACCGCACTCGCTCTACGTCGCGTGTACATACAGTCGAAAAACTTGGACCGGGAGGGTGCACCATTGGAGCACGCGGCTAAAGTCAGACTCTGTATCCAGGCTAAGCGAGAAGCCTTAGAGGAATGGAGAAACAGGGTAAGGAACAAATATCGCACTTTTGGCCTGAGAACAACCCAGGCTATCCTTCCTTGTTTCAAAGAATGGTACGAGAGAGCTGAAGGATATATCAATTTTCCACAGCACACAAGTGATCTCTGGACATGGCTGTTTCCAGGATTGCTTCGCAAGAGGAAAAGAGCCGCATTCTCAAGCTGCGAAAACTGCGGAGGAGGACCGGACACAGCCCAGCACACCCTGGAGTCTTGCTCAGCCTGGGACGAGGAGAGGGCGAAACTGCGGGGTGTGCTGAATAGAAGAACTGGTCTCGATCTGCCATCAATTATAGCAGCGATCACTAGTGATAAAGCAAAATGGAGAGCCTTCATTGCCTTCTGTGGAAGGGTAATGAAGGCCAAGGAAGAGGGAGAAAGAGAGAAGGAAAGAAGAGGTCAAAAGATGAACATAGATCTTCCCCTAAAAAAAAAGAAACCCACAGGGTACATTAAACCCACCCACACGGGTACTTTCATTCCCATCTCTCCACATTGATACAACAAACCCCCTG